TCTCTCGAGCATAGAAAAAAAGCTCAACGATAATAACAAAAATAATAATAATACAATAGATCCGGAGTATGTAAAGGTAATAAAGATGAATATTATTTAATGTAAACCTGAAATGCTAAACTCGTTTGATTAGGAGCTCGTTAAGAAGGTGTTGAAAATTTTATTTGAAAATTTTGTTTATCTTTCGCAAGACGAGTACAAACTCGCTACCGAAAAATATTTAAAAGACGAAAATCCGGAATTTATGCGCCAGTTCAAAAAAAATCAATGGATTATTTTTTTCGAAAAAAAAATTGCCCCGACTGTAAGTTAAAGCAATTATGAATTTTATTAAATTTCATACTAACATTTTTTTTTAATAGTTAGTACAACAACATAGAAGCATACGAGGGACATTTACGTCTAGAGTTAAAGACGTTATGTATTCTGTTTTCGAAGCGACTGGGCATAAATTACCGTCTATTAACACTCAGGCTAGTCCGTCAAAGATTCAGGAATGGAAGAGTAAGGCGGAGGTGAAAAGATGTTACAACAACCTATTTAAAAAGGTTAAAGATGGGCAACCTACGACATATATGTCGCTGATAATTGATAAGTTGCGAAAAGAAAATAAAAATCCCTCAAAAACACAAATAGCGTATGCGATTAGCATATGTGAAACGTACTTAAATCCTAATAATCAAAACATTCAAATGAGCGAAAGTATAATGAAGTCGAAGATAATCAACAACTTAGTAAGTTTTTAATTTACAATTTGCAAAATGTGAATTATTTGAATTACAGTTTATTTATTTATTTATTGATTTTTAGCAAAAGTTGGAAAATAGGGATAAATTTACACATTCGGACGATGATTCTCATGATGGTAATGATGTAGACGATGGTGGTGATAGAGCAGCTGACGATAGAGCAGGTGCGGCTGATGATGGTGTGACTAACGATGGTAGGCCTAACGATGGTGCGGCTAACGATGATGCGGCCAACGATGGTGCGGCCAACGATGGTGCGGCCAATGATGGCATAGCTGACGATGATATACTTTCTATTGACTCTTATAACACGGAGGAGGAAGGTCGGTATGTAAATAGTTAATTAGAGAATTATGGGTTGCATAAAAAATAAATATTATTTTTTATATATATCACACGTAATAGCATTTTTTTTACCATAATTAATATAGTTTTAATAAATAAAATGGTTATTAATTCTTAACAACACGGGTGTGACATAAATAAATCGTGGCTGAAATTTGTGTTCAATTTGTGTTCAATTTGTGTTGATAATTCTGGTAAAAATTTGTTAATTTTGGCCAAATTTCGTTAAATTTGTTAAATTTGTGTTGAATTTGTGTTGATAATTTTTAATTTATCACGAGGGGATAATATTTAGTAATTGTGCATATACAATTTCTGTGATTTTTTAAAATGCGGATTTCCGTAATTTTACGATATCGTATTTTCTGGCCAATCAAATTTGGCTGATCCTTGCATGTGATTTAATCATTTAATCATTTAATCATGCACGCGTTTTTGTCTTATTTATTTTTGTTTCTTATTTCTTTATTCTTTTGTTCAATATTTTTAATTTTTTTGTCTCTTCTTTCTATTATTTCTTTAATTATATACAATATATTTACATATATTTCATAATTTATTGCTTTGCAGGTATAGAAATATTTGTTTATTAATACTAATTATTTTCATTTTTTTTTACCTCTTTGTTATTTTGTATCGTAATACTAACAATAATATCCATGTTTCCTTTATTCCTTTTTACTTGTACTTTAATACTAACGATACTAACAATACTAACAACATGTTTATTTTTTCCTTTCTCTTTATTTCTTTATTCTTTTGTTCAATTACTTTGCAGGTATAGAAATATTTATTTATTAATACTAATTATTTTAATATTAACGCGTTTTTTTTTTACCTCTTTGTTACTTTATGTCGTAATACTAACAATACTATCTACGTTTCCTTTATTTCTTTTTACTTGTACTTTAATACTAACGATAATATCCATGTTTCTTTTACTCCTTTTACTGTTTCTTTAACTCTTTTTACCTTAATACTAACAATAATAACAATATTTCTTTTATCTTTATATCTAATACTAACGTTACTATAGCTGTTTCTCTTCTTTTTACGTCTAATAATATTGTTACTCTACTCTTTCTTTTTTTTACTTTTATGTATTCTGTATATATTAATAAATACTTGTAATTTTTTATGATTATATCTAATAAAACATACATTATATAAACTTATAGTACAGAAAATGAAGTATTATTTATCGAAATATTTTGAAATATTACGAAATATTAAGTTGTGTAAAATCACAGAATATTACGAATCGTCAAATTATGGAACATTACGCATCATAGAATTTCGAAATATTTTAAAAAGTTGCGAAGTATTACGCAGTAAAATTACGGAATATTACGAATCGTAAAATTACGAAGCCTTGCATACAGTAATATTTCGAAATATTTTAAAAAGTTACAAAATATTACGCTTACGCAAACTTGCGGCGGGTCTGAAAACTTACGAAATATTATGTAAAATTACGAAATATTGCGAACCGCAAAATTACGGAATATTACAAATCGTAAAATTACGAAGCTTTGCATATCGTAATATTTCGAAATATTTTAAAAAGTTACAAAATATTACGCTTACGCAAACTTGCGGCGGGTCTGGAAGCTTACGAAATATTATGATGTGTAAACTTGCGCAACTTTTCGCACTATATAATTTCCTGATGATAATTTTAACTAAAATTAAAAATACTAATTGCAAAATTTTAATTTAAAAATAAATATATTAATAAATATTAATTTGATATTAATTATGCTAAAATTTTAATTAATAAAATAAAAAAAATGAAAAAATAAAAATTTTGTAATTTTAAACAAACTGAATTTCTTTTGTAAATTTACATATAGAATAACTGTTTAATATATATAGTTAATTATATAATTTAATATTAATTTTATAAAATTTAAAAAATTGGAAATTACTAATGGTGACATTTTAATATTTTCAAAAGTTATCACCATTTTCAAAATGGTGTGTGCAACATGATTAAAAAAAATTCCCAGATTTTTACCAAATATTTTAAATCCAATATATGTTTTGCATTTTTTTCTAACTATTACCCAAGATTCCCTGCCAAAACTTGCGTTAATAGGTTTGTTTACAGCTTTTCCTTGAGTTATAAGTCAATTTATTATATACAGTTTTGAGTTTCTTATGTCCAAAGTTTGAGATTATTGGCGATTATTGAGTTTACCATCAATAACTAATGATTTTTTCATTTTCTCTAAAACTTTAACGTTCTTACATTTTTTTTTCTATTCACAGATACCATTTTCTCTCTTTTTATAATAATTATAATCAATTACATTAATAGTGTTAATAAATTTTGTAAGTAATTTTAAATTTTTTGCCTATTATGTTATATTGCATTATTATAAAATAATTTAGCATTTTTGGTTAATTAAAAGGTTTAAAAGGCTATATAAAGTTTTTCTGTGAATATTGGAACGTTTAGAATTTAGATTTATTGAATTTGAACAAAACTATCTAACTGTGTATACTTATTTTTATAATTTTATAACAATAGATATTTTATGCTTCAAAACAAGTTAAGAGCTAAGTTAAAAAATTAAATAAATTATTTAAAAGGTATGGTGTTGCTTAGACTAAAGTTTTATCAAATTTAAATAGTTATTTTAAAAAATTCTAAACATTTTTATAATAATGATATTGACTCTGTATTTATTTTCACTTTATCTTTACAGAAATTCTATATGAAAATTTGGAATTTTTATATTGTAAAATTGAAGCTTTATGGGGATTTAATTTGTAATTGTATAAAAAAGAGATTGAAATTATAAAACAAATAAAATTTTAAATAAAAATTAATTTTTTCACAGAGCAATGATTTTTTTTACTTATTGTCATATGACCATTATAATATTTGATTGGCCAATTTTGTTTATTTTGATCATATGACCAATAATCATAATTAGTATTCGATTTAAGATAACTTTGGATTTTTTTAAAATCTTTAATTTTTAATTATTATTAATTATTTTTATTTTATAAAAGAAATTAGTAATAATATAATTTATATAAAATTTAAATTTATATAATACTAGAGATAATAAAAAAACTTTTTATTAAAATGATTTTAATAAAAAAAAAAAAGGTTTCTACTACTGTATATAATTTTTTTTAAAAAAAAACCTTTTTAAAATTGAAACTAAAAATAAGATTTATATTAAATGTCTAATATTCAAATAATTTTTTATTTTTTAAATTTATTAAAAGCATTAAATTTATTAGTTATAATATTATTACTATTTATTACTGGTAGCAATTATTGCTAGTTTTTTATAATTGCAAAAATCCATTAAATTTTAATATAATGATAAAATATTTAATAATAATATTATAGTTAAGACTTCAAAGATCATACCTGATTTTTTATAAAATAAGCTTTTATTGTTTTAGTTAAAACTTTTATGCGTTTAAATAAGTTTAAATAAACTTTTATCATTTTAGTTAAAACTTTTACGCATTTAAATAAGTTTAAATAAACTTTCATTTAGTTTATTAAACTTTTATGTGTTTTGATTTTACAAAATTAAATTTTCATTTAGACTATTAAATAAACTTTTTGCATTCTAATTTTACAAATTATTTTGTTTTTCTTTTCTTTTTTCAAAAAATAATACAGAAATGCCACAAAATAGTAATAAATGTACCCAAATAGCTAATGTAAGCTATATTCATATTTTGTTATTTTTCATCTATCTGAAACTGCAAGCTTTTATGAATATGCAGAATTCTTTAAGAAATTTGGTAAAGTAAAGAATACTATAGCCTCTATTAAAAATTGAGTAATATCATTAGAAAAATTTCATAAAGAAGCAAGTTTTATTAGAAAAATTGATGAAATTGCAACAGAAGTTGAGTTAAATCAACAATTATCAGAATATGGAAGACGGTCAGTAGAAAAGGGAAAATTCAAAAATTTTAAGATTTTTGGTTATTAAGCTAATTTTGTTCCTATGACCATGATTGGTAAAGTAAACTGATAAAAAAATTTTTGACCAAAATTTGGATTTTCCCCTTTTCTACTGCCCTATAAAAAATGTTTGTCTGATAAATATTCAGAATGGGATCAATTTTCCGTACATTCGCACGCTATTATACAATATTTGTTACAATTTAATACAAAATGCGAAGATTGAGAATTTTTAACCACATAAAAATGTACAATATCATGATAAATGTCCAATAAATGTTAAGTAAATGTTCAGAACGGGGTTGATTTTCTGAACAAATAACTGAACAGTGTTTGGACAATATTTTTTATAAGGCTGATCACCTCCCATATATTGCTGCAGTAATTAGAGTATTAGATGACACTTAATTGACAATTCTGCTATTAAAAATGTGAATATTCAACAAGAATCTTCTTTTTCAAATTTATGGAAAGTTTTTAATGGAAAAATCAAGTATCTTTCAAATTTTGGTTTAAATGAATCCAAAGGATCTAATGCTCTAACTATTGATGAAATTATTCAGATTCTTAATCACTAAAAGATGGATAGTGCATTAGATTTGAAGTGTCAGCTAAAGGTTAGTATTTTTTTAAAATATTAACGAGCCATAGTGAAAGTGCTACAACCTATTCTGCGGGTAGTACTCTAAAAAGACTATTATATCAATTTTTTTTTATAATGCAATTCTTCTTGAATTACGTAGTGATAAACATTCAATCTTAATAGTAGATGACTTTAAAAAAAGACCTGATAGAGGTTTTGATGTTTGGATTTTTAGATCAAAAGCTAATTAAAGAGTTAATACTAATCATCATAAAAAAGGAGAAAAATTAATTCTTCCTAATAATTCTATTTTAATAAATGATTATGATAGATATATTAATTTATGACCTATTAATGCTAAACCTAATTTTTATCTTCAAGAAGTTGAAGAAAAAACAGGTAAATTAAAATCATATTAATTTTATAAAAGTTGTTTTATTCTGCTTAACTTTTTATTACATAACTTTCCAAACTGGAAACTAGTTTAAGTATTACCATATTGGTAAAGTACGATTAAAGAAATTGATAAAAGAAATTTGCATTATAACAAAGATTAATTTTGATAATAGAAAGATTATGAATTATGTAGGCAGAAAAATTATGGTTCAAGCATTACAGTATCTTGGCCAAAATACAGATTGCATTAGACATCAATCTCATTATAAATCTGACCAAAGGTTTCAACCTTATGTTCTTCCTTATAATCAGCAGCAACTAGATATGGTGACTTTGTTAGTAAATGAAATTCATAAAAAAACATATAGGTTTTTCAAATTTTTTCTATTTTTAATACTAACCAATTATTTAATGTTAAATAATTGCAAATATAACATCTGATAATATTTCTTCAATAAATTCAACAGATATAAATAAAGAACAAGTAAATAGAACATTTTTAACTGTGAAAGAAGGTATTATTTTGTTACTTAACAATAATTGTATTAGAAAATTTGCTTAGTTAATTTTATTTTCAGTGTTAAAACAATCCAACCGTCAAAATGTTATATTTACAGAAGCTAATACTTCTCAAATTCCTTTAAAATCTAATAATCAAGTTGAAATTGAAATGAAACCCATGCAATTACAGGAATTATTAGAATCTGGTATATTGGCAAATACTTATTTGCACATAAAATTATCATAAAATGTGTAATAATTATATAAAATCAGATAGAAGTAGTATATATAAACATTAACTAGTTTATTATTGTATAATCATATTTTATATAGAATAATTGTAATAAATATCGGTGCAATAAAATTGGCATGATCCTATCTGGCTAAACTATAATAATAAATAATAATTATTTAAATAATATATTATAAATGTTAACATAGATATCTGATATTTATTAAAAATAATGTAAATCATTAATACAGATCAAAAAATATCAAAAAAATAAAGAATCCTTATTTCTTTTAGAAAGAGGTAGTAAAATGATTTAAATAAATCATTTAATTATAGGGATATACAGAGTTATTAACAAATTAATATTAAAGCTGAAAAGAAAAACTTAATGGGCAATATAATAAATATTATTAAATAATACAGATACTATACAGATATTAGTTAATAGAAATTTACAGAACATTTTAGGTATTAATTGAAGAATTTAAAGTTGTATAAAATTAAAGATGAGTTTTATAGTAATAGGCAAAAAATGAAATGCAACTAAACAAGTCATTTTTTTAAATCCATTAAGAAAACTTCTGATTTTGGTGTGCTTTAAATAGGTTTGCAATTTTTTATATTTAGTTCAAGAATCAAGTTTTATATTACAAAGATTTTCACAATAATCCTTTATCTACAATAATAATGCTTTAAGCAAAGATTTTTTATTTACTACGTATTTGAGAATAAATACTGCGACTAGAATCAATAAAAAAATCGAAATATAAAAAATCAACTAAATGTAAAGAAAAGAGATTAGAAGTAAATTACTAAATTCTATACTCAAATCCACCTTCTCATCTTTAACTCAATAGGTGGTTTAAATTGCGTTATTTTGATCTGCTAAAAAACGGGTGATGGATGATGATGACGAACTTAATCGCTACTTGGGGCCATAAACTCTGCCCGAAATAGATCATTTCCAGTGGTAAATTGATCATGAATCCAGTATTCAAATGACTAGAAAATATTTTATTATTCAGCTACTTCAAAAGTGCTTTTTCATGATGCTGGTAGCCGTGATCGAAATCTGAATCTGTTAATGAATTGTTATTCATAAAAAGAAATAGTGAATTAACCATTTATATATATCAGATATAAATACTTTTGATTTGATTTTTGATTTTTAAACTTGTTTCATGATATAAACTAAATTTATTAGCGAATTGAAGAATTATCAAAGCTAAATTTTACTTTTACTTATTAGAATTTTAAGTATATATTATATATTCTAAATCATAAATGAATTATAATATAATAATAATTGTGTGCAAAATTTGTTTCAAATAATGCTGGAATAAGAAAGTTATTTCACAATAAATAAATACCACAGGCTTGGTATTATTGTACAATTTATTATTATAAAAGTATAATCCTAAAGTCACAAATAAAACTCTCCCGCACAAAAAATTGATTAACGTTTTGAACTTCTCTTTGCGGCAAGTATATATAAAGAAAAGGATATTCCCATAGAAGCTGCCCAAACCAAACTACGAAAATTGGCTACTTTAGCTGATTCATTATTAATATAAATAGAATTATAAATAATTCGAGATACAACATAAGAAGTTGATAATGCGTTGAGATAGAGTGTGGGTACACCAGTCACATTAGCAGCAATCTTTTTACCGTAAAAAAAGAAAGAATAACATTATTTTTTTTTTAAAAAAAAAAAAATAAATGAATGAATGAATAAATAATAAATTTGCTTACCACAGCAGTAGCAAAAATTGGAAAAGTTTCCAAACCATTTTGATGAGCAGCTTCACAACGTTTAGCTTTACGCCATGCCTCTTGGGTCATTTGTCTTTCTGCTTTATTAACATTTTCTCTTGGGTTAATATTATTCCAATTACCTGTTTGTTTTGTAACAAGAAAACTTTTATAAAAATATGGATAGTAAGCAACTAATACCGTCGCAGGAAGAGAGTACAATGAATAATTTGCAACCATCTTTTCTTTCTTATAAATTAGTTTGATATTTTGATGGTTAAAAGATAGATGTCAGTTATAAGGCTTTTTATATGAGATATTTTTGTAGCACGTGTAAGTTATTTTAGTCAAATATGGCAATTATCAATACGTCACACCTATTCCTGTTTATTTATAGCGACGTAAAAATTACGTAATGAAGGATTATCATTACCAAGTTTTCCGATATGAGCCAAGTAGCATTAGTATCGGGCGTGAGAGAAACCGAAAAACTTGGTAATGATTATAGCATCGGAAATATTAATTGAGCCAATAGGAATATGAAGAGCAAATCGCCCTGGATACATAAAGAACGTTATACGTTTCGAGATAATGAGTGTAAATTGTGAAATTGTGTAAAATTTTGATTATATGTCTTAAATTGATTGATTGATAAGATTTTTCTAACGTCACTTGAAATAGAATTTTTATAAATTTTTTTGCCAAAAACCATCTTTTGATGAAGATTTGATAATAGTAATCATATACATAACTTCTCAGTGACACCACCCAAGCCTGATGCCAGACTTCTAAATATGAATCTCTCAAATCGTATTTAATTATGAATGACCCGTTGCCATCAAAAAAATACCACTATAAAACATCTGTACTGTCACCTCTGGGGGTGATCGTCCCTGTCTTTTATTACGTAATTTCCCTTGCGGCAATTTAAGTCAACTGATTACTCAGGTTCAAGCATTCGGTCTGCAATGAGTAAGGTAAAAAGCAATTTCTAGTTCTTCTTGGGACATCTGGGTGCGGTAAAACAAGAACATGTTGAGGTCCTAACATCTTTTATTATCTTTGATGATAAAGCACAATCACTTCAAACAGTACTTGATGGAAAGTTTCTCTTTTGGACAGGATAACAGCCAGCAATCACATAAATATACAATTAAGTGAAGGAAATGGTATTTTAGTTTTTAAAGACGAGGACTGTCTGTTAATGGAAATCTTCAATATGATGTCTATGGTTGATAATCTTAGCTCATGTGGCTTTTTATGGGAAAAGTATTTACCTGAGCTAAACCACTGGTTTTCTTTTAAGGGATCACCAAAGGTTCGTCAAACTTTTCATTCTTATACCACAAGTTGTAAATTTAACTGCAAGATAAATTTTTTAGTGAACCATCCGAGTCATGTTTAAACATTCTATATCTCAAGAAAACTTTGTGGTCTTGATTTAATTTTCTTTGTTGAGATTGAATGATCTTAGGGTTCCAGTTTTCGTTCAAATCAAAATGCAACATTCAATTAATGTAAATAAAAATGTACTCAATATGCTTCATCCAAGTTGTTTTATAAGTATAGAAATGGAAAATTAGTTTCAAAGGGAACAAATAAATAACAAAAATATGTGAAAAAGTTAGTTCTTTTGGCGTTATTATAATTTCATAATAATTCATCCAATTGACAAAAAATAAATATAATATCAAAAAAGGAAAAAGCAGACGAAGAGAGAGAAAAATCTTGATGATGACAAAAAAAAAGATCAAAAATAAATCACTGCTCTGCAAAAAAGTAATTTCATAATTCTTGTAGTCTGTTTATTTTATTAATCACATTTTATTAATTATACGTTAAGTTTTCGTGCTACATAATTTTTATTTCAATATACGATTTGTAATTCTTCTTTTTTCAATACGTTTTTATGAAGAATTAAAATTAAATAATTTTTATTACATGGTAAAGATAGAAAACGAAATATATGACGCTTGTAAAATATTTGCAATCTACGAAAAAAAAACACTAAAACAAACATCAACAATTTTGGAATTTGGATCTACGAAATAATTTTTTTTATCTTTTGACTCCTTTATTTTTTTATTATATTATTTTAAAATATTAATATTTCATTGTGCAGTTTATTTTAATTTCTTTTTATTAGATTATTCGATTTTTTGCAAATATCTCACAGCGTACAGCATAATTTCAATACTTTTATCAAACTAAGTAAAGTTGTTTAGCAGGTATAAAAATAGTTTACCTTAATTTGAAGAAAAATGTTTGTAAAGTTATTTACAAAATTTACTTTATTTATTACTTAGTTATAATAAAATGCAATTGGTGTAATTTTTTCGGGAACGCAATCTCGCCAATCACGTGGTCATACCGGTTAACGCGGTTGTGTACGATAAGATTAATATCAATATATTTTGCTGTAAATTTCGTCTTGAAATGTATGTTATTTCTTCTCTGTTATAATTTATTTACTATTATAATTTTTATTTTATTTTGTTTATTTTATGATTAACTGAAATATTTTTGTTTTTATTGAAAAACTTCATGAAGAAGAAATGTCTTAATAAAAATTTTAACTTAGCTTATAAAGCTTGAAGCTTGCATAGATTTATTAGTTTATGTTTTAATACTAAATGATATAAATATATATTTTACATAGTATTTATTAGACTGTATAACTCAAATTGTGAAGAAAACGTGTTTATTTATTACTTTTAACATTAAAATTTTATTATACGCATATTTTTGTAATAAAACCTAGAATTTTTTAAATAATATTCTTTCGTTCTCCATTGGAAAGATGTGAAACCTCACGTTTTACGTGAGCATTTACTAAATTATTTCTAAGATAAATGTTACACAAACTAATCCAATAATATTCGCTAAACTTACGATTGAAATATTATTATAAAACTTTTAGAAAAAATGGTACGTGATTATTTTTAATTAAAAACGATACATTTTTTTTTATTTCTTTTATAGTTTTTCCCTTTGTTTAATATGATTATAATAATGAATATAATTGACAAATAAAATTTAAAACATATCTGATATAAACATACTTTTTTTAAAAAAATATAAATCATCGCCTCAGTTTTACTCGAGATAAACCATTGGTTCATCAGCCCATCAACTCTATCTTCATCAGCTTCATAGTTCAATCTCCATAGACTTGAAATTTTAGCAATTTTGCTTGATTTTGGCTTTAAGTTGGAGTGGGTGGGGACTTGTTTCCCAAAATTGAATGAATTCATGAAGTCAAATATACTTTATTCGAATAATTTTGAGTTTGGTTCAGACTAGTAAATTTAATTGGACATTCTAACGGTCCTGTTTTCTAGTTAAAGCATTTGTTTATTTATAACTTCACAGTCATAATTCCGTTAATCAATAATAATAAATTTAATACTTTATTTTTTATTTTGGTTTTAAAAACCCGTTAAAGTATAAATTTCCGTAATTAACATAACTAACTTTTTGATATTGTCATTTGTTCCTCATTCTTAAATGTTCCTGAAGTAGACAACTTTCTTTATTCAAAAAAGCGTCAATTCAATTACACAAAATCGGTGGCAAGTGGCAACAACTTGCTTTTAAAATTCTTTACACGTTGCAATTGATTTTTGAAGTGGATTGTTGAGTGCAAATTTGACCAACCCTATAATTTTATTTTGTGCGCATATTAATACCCAAGATAAAATAAATGAAAAATGGATTCGTGTATATCTCAACAATTTTAATCAAGTAGAGACAGTATGCGATATGATAGCAAATTTTTTTTGTGCGAGTTACCATTCTTTCAATTAATTTCTCATGATTATTGTCTCTATCAGCTCTAGTTTGTACTTTTACTATTTGGAAAAAACTTTGTATACACAAGACGAATATAATCTTTTGACTAATACCCAAATAGATGGGTTCAGAAGCGTTTATAAATGCGATATGCGACTAAAATAAATCAAATCCGATCAGACGTTAAAGTAACACGTCGGCATATACAATCAGACACGAATAAAGGATTTAAACGAAATATAACATCTGAGATAACTTACTCTGTTGTTATCTGTCATTTTACAACGTCGCAAATAAAACTATATATATTCATATAACAATTATATCATATGATATATTCATAGTTTCCAACCTTTATTTGCTTTGGTCATTATGTCTGTGTATGTCTGTGCTGAAATTTACAAAAAACAATAAAATAAAATAAGAACGCGGCGCGGTTAAAATTTTTATATGTAATAAATAAAATACAGTATACGGACGATGATTTATGGCATTTCACAATAAATCACAAGGGTCACAAAATTTTGTGATAAATACAAAAAATTTTAAATTAACCACCACATAATTTCGCAAATTTTGATCTTTTATGTAAATATGCACATAATTCACACAGTTACGCAAAATTTCCACATCATTTTCATATAATTCCCACAATATGCAGGCTGTATTTAGTAATGCGAAAAGGAGTCAACCAAAAAGTATAATATGTCACGTGAAATAATCTACTGTAAAAACTCTTCAACTTATTTGATAATCGATAATAAAGTCAAAAAAAAAAATCTTTCTCGTTCCACGTAAAAGAATAATGTTTCGCTTATAAAGTTACTCACCTAAAAGAAAAATATTATCTCTACTTGTTCTACACGAAAAATATTATTATTATCTTTGCTCATTGTTTCACACGAAAAATTTTATCTCGCACTATAACTATGGATATTGATTTTGTTAATAGAGAAGACGTCATTTATGAAGAGGAGCTTATTGAGGTATTGTTATGTGAATATTTATAGTAATCAAAGATAATAATAATAAAATATTAGAACATATTTTTATAGCCAAGTGATTGTGAAGAAGATAATAATAAAGAAAGTAAGTTGGCTTTAAAGCTTAAAGAGCTTGAATATCGGGAAAAAGATTTAGCTTTAGCATTAAAAGAACGTGAATTTGCTTTAAGGGAACGTGAAACAAAAAATAACTGTGAAAAGGAGCGTCAATTGAAATTGGCTAATTAAGAATTAGTATTAATTAAAGATTTTAATAAAAATTAACAATAAAAATTTTCTTCATTGGCGGTTGAGTATAATTATAAATAAAAAAAATATAAATACAATACTTTTTTCGTTTGATAATATACACTATTACAGTTGAGTATAGTTTTATTATCTAAATCATACTCAATATCGATTTCATACCATACTATACTTTTTTGGTTAACTCGACACTACTCTTCTTCGTCTTACCGAATGGAAGAGGTAAAATTTATAGTTTATTCTAATAAAGTTATGTAAAGTTATCACATAATATTACAAAATTTTATGAAAGCGCTTTATACCGATCCTCACGTAAAATTTATGAATATTAGGTTTATAGTCTCAATTAAATTTAGAATCCAATAATTGTACTGATTAATCTGTTTGAGCTGTATATAACATGGCTAATGTTCTGGAGTAAAATCCAACTCTATTCAAATTTACAGTATAAGTTTTATTTATTTCAGTTCCTACTTCATGATATTAATTTAATCTAAGACTTCTTTTCTGCTTTGTTATAATATTCAAATGATTTAATTACGTTAATTCCAGTTCCTATTCCATATCGATAACAACATCCAAGTTTATACATTGAATTAAGATCACCTTTTTCAGCTGCTTTATTATATAATTCAAATGCTTTGATTTCATTTTTTTCAGTTCCTGTTCCATTCTCATAACAACATCCAAGTTCATATATTGATTCAACAAAACCCTTTTCAGCTGCTTCTTTATTTAATTCAAATGCTTTGATTTCACTTTTTTCAGTTCCTATTCCATTCTCATAACAATGTCTAAGTTCAGTATAACAACATTCAAGTTTATCATAATAATACATTGAATCAATTGAATCAAGATCACCTTTTTCAGCTGCTTCTTTATATAATTCAAATGCTTTAATTTCATTTTTTTCGGTTCCTATTCCATTTTGATAACAGCATCCAAGTTTATACATTGATTCAACATGATCTTTTTCAGCTGCTTCTTTATATGATTCAAATGCTTTGATTTCATTTTTTTCAGTTCCTATTCCATTAGCATAACAACGTCCAAGTTTAAAAATTGATTTGATATCACCTTTTTCAGCTGCTTCTTTACAAGATTCAAATATCGTTCTTTTTTTACTTTCACTTTCACATTCAAGATCAATCGTTGTATCAGTATCAATATCACTTCCATCTTCAGTTTTTATTTCAAATTGATGACAGTATTCAGGATGATATGTTATATCATTTAAAGATTGTGTTTGACTCATTTGTATTTTTATTTCTTCTCCATTTGGTAGTTTAAAGGATGGTCGAAGATGGTTAAAAAATTGTATGACAAATGGGTTATCAACAAAAGAAAATTGAATTTTAGCTGAAGATAAAGCTTTGGCTAGTAAAGACTCAAGGGATTTTTGTTCTTCTTCACTCATATAATCATTAATATTATTAATTTTTATAGTATTTTGTTGTCTAGATTGTTTCAATTTTGATTTTACATTATTCGGAACTTGTTCACATTTTTCAATATGAGTTTGCATTCGTTGAGGAACAGCTCGTTTAAACTCTTTGGAACAATAGTTACATTGTACACTAGGGTGTGAGTCCCCATATTTACCGATTATATGAAAATTTTTCCAAACAGATCCTCTTTTTCTTACAATTTCTTCATTTATGTTATCAGTGTAGCCAATTATTGATGTAGAATTATTCTGTTGAACAGATTGTGATTTTGCATTATTCGGTGCACTTGGACATTTTTTGTCAAGATGTGCTTGCATTCGTTCAGGAACAGCTCGTTGAAAATCTTTTAAACAGTATATACATTGTACATGAGGATGAGAGTCGTCATGTTCACTTATACTGTAAAAATGTTTCCAAACAGGACCTTTTTTTCTCTCTTTTTTTCTTATCATTTTGGTAAAAATTTATGTTCTTTATCTTTTTAGTTACGCATACTATTCTCAGGAAAAAATGAAGAGTAATTATTGATTTTAGGAAATAACAAAAAAATTGCGAATTGAAAATTAATTAAACAAGTACTAGTGAATAAAAAAATTGCCTATTATATAAAAAAAATGTTCGCTTAGTTTTGTAGATTAATTCAAAATTAAAAAGAATTGTTTATTTTAGCTAGTTTAATATTGAATAATCTATTAACTTGTTAATTTAACGGTTAATAAATTCTATATTGGTGTTTATTATGCCCCTATTTTTAAATTAAAAAGAAAATTTTATTAATCATAAGAAATTTTGTTTCCTTTTAAGGTTACACCATTTTTGCTGCGGCACAAATAGTGGTTTAACCCCTGATTTTTCCTTTTTTTTTTAACTTTTTATGACTTGTTAATTTAATCACTTTCATAGATTCTATATTGGTGTTTATTATCTCCTATTTTTAAATTAAAAAGAAAATCTCATTAATCATGAGACATTTTTGTTCCTTTTTAAGGTTACACCATTTTGCTGCGGCATAAATAAAAGTTCATGGTTTAACCATTCTTTTTTTTTTTTTTTTTTTAAAAAAAAAAAGCTTTTATATTGGAACTATCTCATCAAAAAAAAAAGAAAATATTATATAAAATTTTCGTTATATTTAAAATCCGATATAATTTAATGAAGGTAATCTGATCTGTAATTTCTAAAAAACAATAATGGATTTATTTCCTTGTTTGGTCTGATGTAGAAGTAGTCTTAATTCGTCCATTAAGTCGGATCATACTTTTTGCTTTGACGTGAGTTTTTTGTGTTTTACATTATTCTTGTTAGTTCTCTATTCAAGGTGTCATCATCCATTACTTTGTCAATATCTTTTCTTTCTTTGACGTGTTGACAACATGATTATCATGTGATCCTTTCCAGTTTCAGCTCTAACTTTACTTTTACTCTAACTCAGTACAGTAAAATAATCCTATTAACAAGTACTTTCCAAGATATCTTTGTTCCTAGAAGCCTGTCTGACAATCCTGACAAATCATAATCAAATCCTGACACTCACGAGTCATGAATACAACAACTTTAAAAAAAATGATTTATTAAATTTTAATCAGTAAAAATTACAATATAGAAAATTATTTTTTCTAGCTAACAACATTAATAATAATTCATTAAATTTTGCGTATTATTTCAAATTAAATATTAATGAAATATTAATTTTTAAAATAAAAACATTAATTTTTGCGAAATATTTTAAATATTAATAAAAATATTTAATTGTTACTTAATTTTTGAGACGTGTTAATAAAAAAAATTTATTAATTTTTATAATAAAAGCATTAATTATTATAAACCATTTCACATTATTTACATATTAATAAAAATCTTGGTTGTTACAGAGTATTACAAAATGATAATAAGTGTCAGAATAATGAGTGTTTCAATTATTAGTTCTTCAATGTTACGCTCACTTGAAGAATTTACAGTTGAAATCAGCTTACTTTATAATGGTCACTACTCACTAGTATAAATTGTGTTAGAATTTTTAGAATTCTGATTATTTAATGACGAATTAACATTAAGTCTATAATGAGTTAAAATCATAATTATGTAGTATATGTTTGTAATTAAAAATAATTTAAATAAGGAACTTCATATTAATTGTTTCTTTCGGCTATATATGGTGGTGAATTTAACCTATGGTAATTCGGCAATACATCATGAATGCAAATATATTAGATCTGATCTATAATAAAAATAAAAAACAAAAAAAAAGAAGAAAATAACGAAAAATTCAATAAAATTAGCAATTGAGCAGAAAATGATGTCGATAATAGATCTATAAGTTCGATATGGCACGGATTTATGAAAACTAGTTATTAGATAGAGATTAGATTACATAGTTTAATAAAATTTTAGTTTATAGTTTTTTTTAGATAGATTGGGTTATAGGGCTATCGATAATTTTTTATTGATACCTCTAAGTATTTTGTACAATTATGTAATTAATAAAATGCGTTTAATACTAATTTTTTTTCTAAAAAAAAAAATAGATCTGATCTAAAAATAAAATAGCCCGAATGATACCTATGATAATATGAAAATTTTATAATTTTGACAATAATTCAATTTCGGCAATTCAATATTACGGTGGTGCAATTCATTTCATTCATTTCTAATGGTGTACAGTAGTTTAGTGACATGTCGAAATTTTGAACTATACAAGTTTCTAAATTTGGAATTGTGCAACGTCGATCTATACTAATAAGGATAAAAGGTGACCGGTTCGATCACGTGACTTATAAATTTGTCACCTCCCCAGTTTTCAGTTTATTTCCGGTACATGAAATTTTATTTGTTACGTCCTCATTTGTCGTGTAAGTAATGTAAAATCACGTGATCTAACACGACCCCATAAAAGGAAATTTTAAAAAGGAAATTTCAAAAATTCAAAAATTCAAAATTCAAAGTTTCCAATTTTGTCACTTTTAGTCCCACCATACATTTCGACAATATTTAAATTCGGCATTACGGCAGGGTAATTCATCGGCAATTCAGCATTACAGTGGTGTGTGGTATAATATACAGTATTACACCGCCGTAATATTCCGGCAGCATTCTCATGTATAGTCGTATCAGTTAAAGTATTTTAATGTTAGTTTTTATAGAATGCTCTTCAAAGCAATTCTTTTTTTTTATGATCTTCGTTATGCTTAAACCAGTCATAAAGTTCAAACATCTTTCATTGCAAAATAGCAGATCACTGGTCGAAGTAGGGGGATGTGCAATACATTTACACTAGAGAAATTTTATATACACGTCACATTTCAAATTGATTTACCAGTAATTTCAATTAATTCCAATTAAAGTGTATATTAAGGAAATTTGTTGTAAACTTGTCCAATTTCCATGAAGTGTATATGTCATTTGAAATTTACAAGTTTCTATTATATAAATGTATTTTAAATTGTGATAAAACCTTCTTTATATATCATTTAAACTTATAATACATTAAACAGAAATTTTTTATGATATAAGAAATGTTAATGAAATTTCGCTCATATTTGCAAATATATAGCTAAAATATTAACAATAAATACAATAAATTATTATAAATTTTATGTATATTATAATGAAACTTCACTTCTATTTAAGAATCATAAACTTCATAGCCACGCTCAATTAAGGCAATGTATTACTAGACCTACACTAAAGATGACTTTAGCAAGGCTTTCTTTGTGAATTAAAAGAAATTTCATACACTTTGCCAGCTGGTGAGAAAGCCTATGATCTCTAACCTCAAACTTCTTTTCTACAAGATCCCTAAACATTTGATTCAGAGACCTAGACCATCTAAAAAAGAGAAAATTGAAATGTTAGTAAAAACATTTCATTGAAATGCATAATTAGAAACAAATCTCACCAAGTTTTCACGTGTTTAAAAAGTCAAAAAACCAACCATCTGAAAAAAGAAAGATGATGAATATTAGTGATCATTCTTTGTTAAAAGAAAAATTAAAGAAAAAAATTGAACTTACGAAATCCATGTTCAAAAATATCTCTGGATACCAAAGAGCAAGTCATCTATAAAAGAAAAAAAAGTTAGTAATCATTTTTTAATGTCAAAGAAAAAAAATATCTTACCGAAATCAACCTCCAAAGAGCTGAAGACTTATCCAAATAAGAACGAAAATGAAGTTGTTAGGTTAATATTATATTAAAAAAAAAAGTTTAAGAATATAAAAAAAAAGTACACCATAACCTACGTGTCTAAAGATCCTAATGAAGCCGTCTAAAAAACTGAATTCATTAAAAATAATTTAAAAATCACTTTCCCTTTTTTTAAATTAAAAAAAAGAACTTTAAAAAAAGAATTATCAGAAGTCCATGTGTCAAAAAAATCCACGTTAAAATGAGAGAAAAAACTTCATCTTCCATTAACAAAATTCTGCTTCAAAGATCCAAAGTACCATAAGGCTAAAAAATAAAAAAAGAAAAATTTCATTAATAAAATTCTTTTAAAATAGGTTTCTTAAAGTCAATTCTGAATTCAAATAGCTTACCAAAGTCTGGAAATACAGAACCTATAAAGATTAAAAAAAGAAGCGTCAGACATTTCTTACAGATAAATGACGAATTCCTCTCAAAAGAAATAACTCACTATCCAAAAGTCTTCCACAGACAAGTCATTACCTACAAAAAAATAAAAAAAAAGGAAATTTAGTATGTTCCTCATAATTAATGGCGAAATTCTTTTCCCAAAAATTTTACTTACTGTCCAAAAAGTCCCTCCAGAGAACATTACCTACCAAAAAAAAAGAAGGAACATTTAATACATTTTTTATAGAAACTTTTTCCCCAATAATCACCAATCGTCTGAAGATTCTCTGTTACCTTTAAAAAATTAAAAAGAAAATTTTAATACATTTCTAATACTAATAATGAACTATTAAAACAAAACTAACTTGCCATTTATTTTAATTTCCAGTTCTTGTTTTATTGTAAAGTATAATTTTTACTTTTGTTTTCTTCAAGTCCAGCTATCATAGGCTTGGAAAAAATTTTATGAAAAATAATAAGAAAAAAAAAGAAAATTATAGTAAATAACGATAAAACAAAAAAAAAATTCAAAAAATTGATAAAAATAAAAAGAAATCACCTAAGAGAGCACTATTTGCGAAAATGTTCAGTTGAACTTCAACTTTGAGCCATTGGAATTATTTGTTCATTTCCTTTAATTTTTGTCAGTTGTTCATACCAATAGCTCATTGATGTCATTGTTGTGAAAAAAAAATTAATGAAGGAGAAAGAGGGAAAGGAATTATGGGAAAGAACAAACTTTTTTTTTAAAGAAAGATTATCCGTCATTGAACTGCGCCTATCAGTTATTATATCATGTGATACACATGACAAAATAGGACCCGATTCCATTTTGAGGATTGATATAACATATTAAACTATTTTAACTATTTTAACTATT